AAAAAAAAAAAAAAAGTCTGTATGTGTTCAGTACAGATACAACCATCATAAGCCTAACTACATGCATACCTTGAATATATTGCAGGTTTAGTTCCAGGCCACCGCAATAAAGTTAACATCACAATAAAATGAGTCACACAACCCAGTACATGTAAAAGTTGTTTATATTACACTATAGTCTATTAGGTGTGAGAAGGCATTATGTGTAAAAAAAAATGTAAATACCTTAATTAAAAAACTTTATTGCTTAAAATGCTACTATCTGAACCCGTTGGAAAAATGATGCTGATAGACTTGTTCAAAGCAGAGTTGCCACAAACCTTCAACTTGTAAAAAACACAAATCTACAAAGCACAAAGTAAAGCACAATAAAATGAGGTATGCCTGTACATACATAATACACATCAGTAACAATGTAACATTTTTCCTGAATATTTTCAATCCCAGGTTGGTAAATCCTTGGATGTGGAACCCAGATATGAAGGGCCAACTGTATACAACTACCAAAATTGATCAAATGCTATACTTAAAGATGGTGACTTATTTTATGTAAATTTATCTCAATAAAGCTAAAAAAGTAAATCTACAACAATCACGAGTTATTTAATAATCATCTTGTTTATGCTGAAGACTGTCAAGAAGGAAAAAATGTTGGCCTTTCTGTCAATGTCAATGAGCTTCAATGTATGTCTTAGACATCAAAATGAAAAATACAAATATAAGAGAGTATATACTTAGAATCCAAGTTGCTTGTAAGCTACACTATAGGATGGAAGTACAGAGATTGGAAGGCTGGGAGTGATAGAGAAATTTTAATAAAAATGAAGCTCAAGGTTAAACAATGGATAGGACTTTGATAGATGGATCACTGGATAATCAAAGGCAAAGATGCAAAGAATTTCATATATATAAGGGGGAAGTAAGAAGGGTACAACCGATACTATTTAAAGCTGGAATAATAATCACAATCACCAATGGTGTGGTGAGAAGAGGGAGATTGAAAATATACTCATGTTTAAAATATATATTACCCCTAGTGGAAAGTAAACAGATATTGTGTAAAGAAATCAAGGATGAAGACTAAGAAAGTTATGACTGTAAAGGCAACCAAGAAAAAGGAAAAAATACAAACTTTCCAAATTTTCAGAAGGAAGGACATATATACACAAAACAAAGAAATTAAGATCCTATCGTAAAAGATTAAAAAGATGAGGTAAAATTTAAAACAAAATGTATAATATTATATAAGAGAACCAATTCTAACTATTTGTTCCTGTCGATAAATGCAAGAATAAACATAACTATTGAAAGAAAAGGACTATGATGGGCTCATACAGAAAATTCTAAGACCTCAATCCAGACGTCCTGAATCAGAAAACCTGAGGGTAGAGCCCAGCAATCTGTGTTTAACAAGCCTTCCAGGTGATTTCGAGGCATGCTAAAGTTTAACAGTTACATAGCAAAACCCACCTAAGCCATGTATGTGTGTATATATATATATATGTATATATATATATATATATACACATATATATATATGTATATATATATATATATATAAAACAATATGTATTAGAAATGCTGAAAATAAAGACTAAAAGTAAAATAAAGAAGACAATCACAAATATATAAACTATAGAAATCCAAAATCCAAAAACACATTATACCTACAAGGCTACTTCTCTCAACCTATGAGATCAAATCCA